GAAGAGGAGGAAGATGTTCTCTGTCGTCCAACAGCAGGAGTGGGAGAGGAAGGCGGCTGCAGAGACAAAGAGGGACACTTCTCAGTCGGTGCATCACAAAGAGGCGAAAGATTTCACGGTCAAACCTCGTCACCTTCGCTACTCGGCACCAGAATTACTAGTCAGTTTAACAAATTATTCAGAATCATCAGAATCAGAATCAGGATCAGGATCAGGATCAGAATCAGGATCAGAATCAGGATCAGAATCATCAGAATCAGGATCAGAATCAGGATCAGGATCAGGATCAGAATCAGAATCAGAATCAGGATCAGGATCAGGATCAGAATCAGAATCAGAATCAGGATCAGAATCAGGATCAGGATCAGGATCAGAATCAGAATCAGGATCAGAATCAGGATCAGGATCAGGATCAGAATCAGAATCAGAATCAGGATCAGAATCAGAATCAGGATCAGGATCAGGATCAGGATCAGAATCAGAATCAGAATCAGAATCAGAATCAGGATCAGGATCAGAATCAGGATCATCAGAATCAGAATCAGGATCAGAATCATCAGAATCAGAATCAGAATCAGGATCAGGATCAGAATCAGAATCATCAGAATCAGAATCAGAATCAGAATCAGGATCAGGATCAGAATCATCAGAATCAGAATCAGAATCAGGATCAGAATCAGAATCAGAATCAGGATCAGAATCGGAATCAGAATCAGGATCAGGATCAGAATCAGAATCAGAATCAGGATCAGGATCAGAATCAGAATCAGGATCAGGATCAGAATCGGAATCAGAATCAGGATCAGAATCAGAATCAGAATCAGAATCGGAATCAGAATCAGGATCAGGATCTGGGTTTATTGCCAAGTACACATACAGTGAGTTTGACTTGGTGTATTGGTGCTAAACAATTAACAAGGAAATAAAGCAGAACTAGAAACAACTTAAATAATACAGAAGAAGAAGATATTACAAGATATAAAATAGAATTTAAAAATGTTAAATATTAAATATAAAAAATACAAAATGTAGAAAAGGTGACATGTAGGAGCTGTGCAGTGGACTATGAGAAAAAATAAATAAAAGAATTACACGTTGGCCTTCAAAGCTGTTACCCAGCCTCCAGCCACTAGGCGGGGCTGCTCTCCTCGCTTTACAACCAGGATGTAAACAAGCACAGTGAACAGATAGCTGTTCAGTGAAGGGCCGTGTGGATTGTCAGTGTTTAGATCTATAAAACGGACGTGTCAGGTTACATTTTTATGGCCCAGATCGCTGTGTAACCACAATCAGCTGCAACATGTGGACGTTAAGACGCTGAGGCTACTGCGACACTTATGCTAACAGCATGCTAACTGACGCTAGCTACACAACATTACACAACACCTTTATTTTGTAGTTGTACTCACGGAGGTCTGGTACACCTGCTGCTGAAGAGCTGGTTGAAGGCTGTCTTGTTGCCATGGTAACTGTAAACAACAACACACACACAACACACACACACACACACACACACACACACACACACACACACACACACACACACACACACACACACACACACACACAGTTCTTGGTTCTCGCTCTCGTGTGATTTTAAAAATAAAATCAATAATCAGAGTTCTTACTGGAGTAGCCTGGTTCTGATCCATCAGACACGCCATCAGCACAAACACCCACATCCTCAAATACACAACCACACACACACACAGTGATCCTAACTGGTCCAAACTGGTCCTAAATGCTCCAAAGCTGTCCTTACTGGTTCTTACTGGTTCTTACTGGTCCTAACTGGTCCTAACTGGTCCTAACTGGTCCTTACTGGTCCAAACGGTCGTTCCTGATGGTCTGGTGTTCTGGCTCTCATTCTTCTGTTTTATTGTCTCTTAAACAGGAAGTGACCTGTCATCATGTCCCGCCCCCCTCCCACTGACAGCCACTCATCAACACAAACAACCTGATTTATATGGTGTGTGTGTGATCCATGTTTAAAACCACACACATAATAAAAATAACCCAGACTGTGATGGAGTCTGAATACCACGTTATTGAAGAAACACTTTTAGAGTGAGAACCCTATTCACACCTCTATGACATCACACAGGTGTGTATATCCGTCTAAAACACGTTTGATGACAACATGAGTCTCCCTCCGCCCTGCAGTCAGTCCGCCAACCGACAACATCCTCCTCACCCATCCGGCTCTCCAGCTACCTGATCAATTTCCAGACTTGGTCCACATTGGGACTTGAACCAGCGACCCTCAGGTTCCCAACTCAAGTCTCGAAAGACTGAGCTACTGACACCTGACAGTAATTAACTCCCTGTGTGCTTTTATTTTGAAATAAAGTAAGGCCCTTCCTGTAGAGTGAAGGTTAGGACATGAAGTGAAGCACAGAAACAGGAAGTGGTTAGGGATCCCAAACTGAGGTCAAACAGCTCAAAGGAACGGTAACAAAGGTCAATGTGTGATGTCATGAGGTCAATGTGTGATGTCATGAGGTCAATGTGTGATGTCATGAGGTCAGTGTGTGATGTCATAAGGTCAATTTGGGATGTCATGAGGTCAATGTGTGATGTCATAAGGTCAATGTGTGATGTCATAAGGTCAATGTGTGATGTTATAAGGTCAGTGTGTGATGTCATAAGGTCAATTTGGGATGTCATGAGGTCAATGTGTGATGTTATAAGGTCAGTGTGTGATGTCATAAGGTCAGTGTGTGATGTCATAAGGTCAATTTGGATGTCATCAGGTCAATGTGTGATGTCATCAGGTCAGTGTGTGTTGTCATAAGGTCAATGTGTGATGTCATGAGGTCAATGTGTGATGTTATAAGGTCAATGTGTGATGTCATGAGGTCAATGTGTGATGTCATAAGGTCAATGTGTGATGTCAATGTGTGATGTCATGAGGTCAGTGTGTGATGTCATGAGGTCAGTGTGTGATGTCATAAGGTCAATGTGTGATGTCATGAGGTCAATGTGTGATGTCATGAGGTCAATGTGTGATGTCATGAGGTCAATGTGTGATGTCATAAGGTCAGTGTGTGATGTCATGAGGTCAATGTGTGATGTCATGAGGTCAATGTGTGATGTCATGAGGTCAGTGTGTGTTGTCATAAGGTCAATGTGTGATGTCATGAGGTCAATGTGTGATGTCATAAGGTCAATGTGTGATGTCATCAGGTCAGTGTGTGTTGTCATAAGGTCAGTGTGTGATGTCATGAGGTCAGTGTGTGATGTCATGAGGTCAGTGTGTGATGTCATGAGGTCAGTGTGTGATGTCATGAGGTCAATGTGTGATGTCATCAGGTCAGTGTGTGATGTCATCGGGTCAGTGTGTGATGTCATCGGGTCAATGTGTGATGTCATAAGGTCAGTGTGTGATGTCATAAGGTCAGTGTGTGATGTCATAAGGTCAGTGTGTGATGTCATCAGGTCAATGTGTGATGTCATAAGGTCAGTGTGTGATGTCATAAGGTCAGTGTGTGATGTCATCAGGTCAGTGTGTGATGTCATAAGGTCAATGTGTGATGTCATAAGGTCAGTGTGTGATGTCATAAGGTCAGTGTGTGATGTCATCAGGTCAGTGTGTGATGTCATAAGGTCAATGTGTGATGTCATCAGGTCAGTGTGTGATGTCATCAGGTCAGTGTGATGTCATAAGGTCAGTGTGTGATGTCATAAGGTCAGTGTGTGATGTCATCAGGTCAGTGTGTGATGTCATCAGGTGGATATTACTGTGTGAGAGTTTGTTAAAGTGAAATGAGACATTCAGAGATGCAGCAGTGAGACTACAGGGAGACACTGAGGACGAGTATCTACGGAGAGCCTGAAGGGACAAACAGGAGATTAATGTGATGAACTGTTAATGCTGACAGCTCTACTTTAGACACATCTTTATTTACAGTTTAATAATGTTTTATAACGGGATCACTGGGACTCCACCTGGTAGAGACATGTGGTGCAGTGAGTCAAACAGAGTTAAACTTTAAAATAACTTCATATAAACTGCAGTGAATGAAGACAAACAGAAAACAGACCACATGATGTCACTTCCTGTGTGTAAGATCTGTGGTCAAACACAACAACACGACCAGCTGACAGTAAACACGTTACACAACTAAGATTTACTGACACTCACACACAGTTTCACAGTACTTACATTAAAGACAGTGTGTGTGTGTGTGTGTGTGTGTGTGTGTGTGTGTGTGTGTGTGTGTGTGTGTGTGTGTGTGTGTGTGATGTGAAGCCAAATGAAGAAGCACATGTGGACTCTTATAGATGTTTTGGCCTCAGGGTTTATGAACAGTTTTAACTCTGTAGCTCGCCACTGATGACAGCGGAGCTTAGTAGCGTCACTTTTGAGACAAAAGTCGTCTGAAAAAGGCGACTGACTAACAAGTTGAATCTGTGAGGATCAATAATAAATACATCTAATGATAGTAACCCTGACATCCAATGATCAATATGTCGTCTGCAAAGAGAAACGATAACCAGAATGACCAGCAAAACTTTATTGATACCAAAATGACAGAAAAAACTGACAAATTATTCCATTAAAAGTGAATTATTTAAAATGTGACGATGTAAACCGACGACAGGCAGAAAAACTGTCAAACAGATCTTTTCAAATAATCTCACTTTTAATTTGAAATATAAAAAACTAAAACCGTCTTTTTAAGTACGATCATGTTTCAGACTGTTTGCATATTTCACAATAACTTCAAACAACATTTGTGATGTTCTCATAGACACAACATTATTAACTGAAAGTTTAACAAATAACACACAGATGATGTCATAAACACTGAGATGATGTCATAGACACAGAGATGATGTCATAGACACTGAGATGATGTCATAGACACACAGATGATGTCATAAACACTGAGATGATGTCATAGACACAGAGATGATGTCATAAACTCATAGACGATGTCATAAACACACAGATGATGTCAATAAAAATGTTCAGCAGAAAGTGTAAATTATGAGACAAAATGACCATCATTGTTGTTCACTAAGCCCCTCCCCCCCAAACAATGACGGTCCAATCACAGCACAGCACTTATTTCCAGAAAGAGTGTATTTGTTTATGTTCTCGAACTCACAACAAAAAGTCTGTTAGCAAGTTACCATGGTAATAGTGGGGGGGTTAGACTTAGCTAAAGGTCATTTGCTAAAAGGCTTAAAAGAAGATGCTTTTGATGCATGTAGCATTCAGGTGCAGACACATGAACAAAGACGCTCACAGTGCGTACTTTATTTTTACTTGTTAACGTTTCAGTTTTTAACTTGAATCTGACGAAAGTTTGAAGATGATGAAATTCTTAAAAAGACCACAGCAGTAAACCATCCACACTATTTTGTGTCCTCGCTGCTACTCTGTGCTGGCTTAGCCACCTTTGCTAATCTGATCTTTGTCTGCTTCCTGATTGGTAGATGACTTGGCGTCTGTGGGCGGTGCTTTCTGTCCGGATCGTACTGGCCGTTAGAGAAGGCGTGGAGAGGATTAAAGTGAACATGTTCACGCTCGTGATGTGCTGCTAACTTCACTCTGGTGTGTGTTTGTGTTGAAGCAACTCTTTTCTTGGACTCTGTTTCCCTGGCAACAGGTTGGTTGTTGTACGAATGACTGATTGGGGCGAGGAAGCCATAGTGATAAGGTTTCCTCCTGCGAGGAGGAGGAGGTGGAGCCTCACTGCCGAGAGGCTGGTTAGCATCTGTTGTAGCCTCAGTGCCATCATCTGAACTTGTTGGATCTCTTTCTACATTAGCATTCCTGGAGTCAGGAGTGTGTGTTATGGACATAGTGGGGGCAGTTGGCTTTACGCTTAAATCAAATCCTTCAGTGTCAGTTTCTTTGCTTAAATGTTCTTCTTCAGCACTGGACTCATGCCCCGTATCTGTGTTAGCATTACTGCTAGCTCCAGAGCTAACTGGCACTGTGGTGTGCAAAGTAGCAGTGGTGAGGTCTTCGTCAGTGCTAACATAATGACTTGAATCAGTTGTAGTCTCTAAACTTGAATCTACTGATGCATCATTTACACTGCTGTGAAGCTCCATGCTAACTTCAGAGCGGGATGCTATGCTAGCAGTGTTAGTCCTGCTGTCTGCAGTGGGGTTAGCATCATTGGGGGTCTTTGTGGTCAGTGTTTCTTCTGACTCCTCCTGACTGATCATTAAACTGGAGCTGAAGTTTGTGACTGAACGAGGATTGAACTCAAGACTCAGACTTAAATTAAAGGTCGAGGAGTGACTAGGATGAAGTTCTGAGCTCTGAGACTCATTAGATGAATTAAGTCCACGAAAATCTAATTTAGGTCCAGAGTCTGATACACCTATCTCTTCTGATTCAGAGCTTTCAGACTCTGTTGATGTTTGAGGGGAGGGAACAGCAGGAGGAGAGGAAGAGGAGGGCAAAGCCAACAGGACTTCCTCACTGCTTGAGCTGACCTCTGGACTACCAGCTCTGTAGAGACCTGGTCCAGATGAGGTTGAACCAAGAACCTTTCCTGCATCATCCGTTTTATGACTCTCCTCAGAGCTGTCTGAGATTAAACCAACATTCACCTGAGAGAAGAACCTGGTACTGCCCTTAATATGAACCTGGGATATGGTGTCTTTTGGTATGTTCAAGATCGTAGGTGCAATATCCTGATCCTGACTGGCTGGGCTTAAGCTAGCACCC